GGATTACGACAGCGTGTTAGACTGTGCACTCACGCTTTAAGCGTGTTTTCACATGGTTGTTTTGGCGCCCTGAGCAGCGGGGTCCCTTCCTTCCGGCTCCGCTCCTCCAGACGCACTAAGGAAAGTGGGTGCTAACTGGGCCTGGCCCCGACCTCGGGGGCGGCCAGGGGACATGGGCAAGGGAAGGCTTGTCCCAGCACAGGCCCTCTCCGGGGGCGGGCGGGACAAAGCCCCTCCCACCCGGACAGGTCCCTGGGACAGGCCTCGGCCAGCGACAGTGGCTAACGTGTCCAGGCAAGTGTGCCGCGCGCGTCACGTCTCATTCCACAGCCCGTGACGTGGGCGCTCCTGCTGGTCACGCTCTACCGAGGGGATGGAAGAGGGTTGGTACCAGCTCCAGGTTACGCTGCAGGCAGGGGGCAGCGCTGGGGCTTGAAGCCCGGCTGCCTGGACCCCGAACCCACACTCGCCAGCACTGGCTGCCGCTTAGAGTGTGGAAGACGCCCCCCCATCTCAGAGCTGCCCCAGCCCCTCCCTGGGGCCCGTCAGGGGCAGACATTCTCTCCCACAGGTGAAGTTGCTGGTTGTGGGTCAGGTGACGGCAGGCGGTGAGCTCCGCTGGTGGGAGGCACGTGAGCGGAGTCGGGGGGCCACCGGGCACTGGTGCGGAGCAGGCCCCCATCCTCACGGGGGACGTGCGTGAGGGAGGAGTGATGAGTGAATGAACGCGGTCTCTCTGGGGCAGCGGGAGCCCTCCTGCCTCCGGGCCTGGAGCGTGGGGAGTGGGAGCCATCTGGGACCCTGATGGTCCCACCTGTGGGGCCCTCGCACGGGGAGGACCCTGGGCCGAGTGGTCCAAGCTATTGGGAGAGTCGGGGAGCAGAGAGGAGGCGGCGGGGACTGGGGGCACGAGTGTGCTCGTGGGGAGTCCTGGAAGGGAAGGGCATGGCCCGGAGCCTCAGCCCCAGACTCCCACCGCCAGGCCGGCCACCCTCGGGGCCTCTGACGCCTGCTTTGGGGAAAAGGGGAAGCAGAAACCGGGACCTGGGCAGAACAGGGCTCGCTGGGAGCGGATGAGGAAAGGTTGGAAAGCTGGGGGTTGCCGGGGGGTGGGGTGTTGGGGTGGCGACTGGCAGAGGAGTGAGGTGGTAGCCGTTTTAACCGGGTTTGGAACATTCCCGTGAAGTGCCCCTCAGCCCCTGCAGCCCCCGCCCTCCTGGGTGGCTCCCCTGAGCTGACCCTGCCCCGGGGCCCAGCCAGCACCTGCTGCAGCTGGTGGCCTGGGGTGAACCCCTCTTGTGGACCAAAGAAGGTCAAGGCCCCGTTGATATGGGCCCCGCCCCACACCCGGCCCGGCTCCTTTGTCCCCGTATCTCTAATGCCACATCCCCCTGGCAGGTGAGCACGCCTCCGCCTGGCCCGCTCTGCCCGCCTTCGCGGGTCCAATCTGATCTGACCTGCGCCCTGGCCTCCTGGGGGCCACCTGGGCCCGGCTGCTGCCCTGTGACTGTGATGTCTGCTGACAGCGAGGGAGCTGGGGTGGGTGGGAAGGGGTTTAAAACGCGGTCCCGGGGCCTCCTGCTCCGATGGACAGAGCTGTTCTCACCGCTGCTGGGCGCCGGCCTTCCGTGAGCCTGCAGCAACAGCAGCGTCGGGGTCCTCATGCCCTGGCCTGGGTGGCGGTGGGGAGCGAGGCCGTGAGCCCGAGTGGAAGCCTGTGCCACCTTCTCATGCCCTGCTCCCTGCCTTGCAGCACCCACTTTGGCTGGGTCCCTGAGTGCCCTGAGGGCACGGAAAGAGGCCGAGTGCTATGGGTCACTTAGAAAAAAGGGCTCTCGCCTCCGGGGGACATCTGGGAGGCCATCACGGAGGCGGCGGCATTCGAGCTGTTTTAACAATATTTAAATTGGAAGTTGCAGTCAGCCCAGGAGTGTGTCCCCTCTTCCCCGGGGGACTCACATTCGCACAGGGATCGGAACATGGTGCAGAGGGGACCTTAGCAAGTGGCTGAGCACCCAAGCAGGAGGCGGAGGCTTCTGAGCCTGGCTGGAGGCAACACCAGCCGTGCTCCCTGCCCGTCTCGGTGGTAAGGGGCTGCATTGTGCTCCCCAAATTCATGTGCGGGAGCCCCAAGTGCTCACTGAGTGTCGCTGTGCTGCAGGCGCCAGTGCAGGCCCGGGGGCCGGTCGCTCAAAGAACAAGGCAGACCCAGCGCTGTCTCCCTGGTGTCCACTCGGGCAGGAGACAGACAGTCACAGGAGAGAGAGGCCACACAGTGGGCGCCGTGCGGTGCGGGGGCAGCGAGAGCGAGGAGGGACAGGGAGCGCTGGAGGGCTGGCATTTCGGGGAGAGGACCAGAGGGCCCCCCGAGGCCATTAGGGTGCAGGTCCGAAGGGGGAGGGAGGGATGTGTGTGCTCGCGACCCACAGTTTGGGCTGCACTTTTGACCAGTTTATTCATTTGTTTATTTTTTGGTGACATTTTGCATCTTTGTACTAAATAGCACTGCACGGCAGGCAATTGTTACTTTTCAATTTGGTTCCAGTTTGCATTCAGTGCTTCTGTGTGTCGGTTTCAGGCGTACACGGGCTGCCCTTTTCTTTGTACAGCGCTGAACAAACTCTGACTGAATCTGGTGGCCTTGCTGGAACTACGGGATTACGATTTCCTTCAAGTTTGCAAACTTGGGACACAGCTAAGGCAAAAGCCCCAAAGCGCTCCAAACAAGGAAGAAGAGTTAAAAGTGCTCCCAGTAGAAACCGCTTTTTTGAGAAGCGCCAGGCCCGTGTTCTTAGCCCTGGGATTGGTCCAGGACTGGGACCCGTCGGACGTCAGGCGGCCAGGATGCCAGATGCCAGACGGTCCGGAACGGAAGGCGGGTGCCAGGAGGTCTGATCACGGCCGGTGTCGATGGCAGGGGTCTGGGTGCCCGAGTCCGTCCAGGGGTGATCATTGGGCGGCCTGGTCTACCCAGGCGTGGACGCAGGACTGGAAGGCTCAGGCTAGTTGGGACAGGAATGCAATCTTTCTCGTGCCCCAACCTGTATAATGTTAGTAATTTTAGTAGCTTGGTGACAGCGACTCCATTTTATATATTCCCCATCTTCACACTTTTATTAATGGACATAGCCCACATTTATCACTTTAAAAAAAATTTTTTTTTAATTGATTTCAGGGAGGAAGGGAGAAGGAGAGAGAGATAGAAACATCAAAGATGAGAGAGAATCATGGACTGGCTGCCTCCTGCACGACCTCTCCTGGGGGTCAAGTCCATAACCCGGGCATGTGTCTTTGACTGGAATCGAACTTGGGACCCTTCAGTCTGCAGGCTGACGCTCTATCCACTGAGCCAAACCAGCAAGGAATGGTCACACTAAGAGTCAGAAATAGATTCCTTCCTGGTGATGATTTCCCTGATGTTAGAAACTAGGGTGGTCTCCCACTGTTACGAGTACAAATAGATTCCGTGGGAAAATATTTATAGCTAATATAATTTATAGCTCAATATATCGATCTCTATTTAGGTATGGAATCGCCATGCTGTTTCCTACCGTGGCCGCACCCGGGACACTCACATAACAGGGCACGGGTTCCATGTCTCACCGGCCCGGGTTGATGTGTGTGTTTGGCCAGTGGCCACCCTCCCAGGTGTGAAGGGAGAGCTCATGGCCATTTCCATTTGCGTTTTCCTGGTGGTTAATGAGGGCGGAGCTGTTCTTGTCTCAGAATTACAGACTAGAAAACAGATGTCTGAGATGAGCTGACCTAAGGTCACAGGACTGGTCACAGGCCTGTATTTATTGAGGCCCTACTGGGTGCCTGGTACTTGAACCCGGACCGAGAGCCCCGGGCTGTGCTGGCCTGCCCTACGCTGCCCTGTCTTCCAGGGGCTTCGCAAACCTGTAACCCCGCTGTTTCGGACTCTGCCCTTTTCTCCTGAGGTCATGTTACATGAGCTCTCAGCATCCACTGTTCGCAAACACGGCTGTGAGGGGTGGCGGAGGCGGTGGGGCAGCCACAATCCTTCTCTCACCCCCAGCAGCGGTCGCCAACCAGTGGTCCGCGGAGCGCAGCTTGTCCCTGAGGTCTGAAAGGTTGGCGACCGCCAAGTCCTACAGCATCTCTCACTTCTGGGGCCGCCTCTACCCGGCTGCAGCCGGCGGTTCTGGAGGAAACTGTCAATCACCATCCACAGCGCGGGGGCCGGGTGGCCAAGTGGAGCCCAGCATAGTGCCCCATGCCCTGGCCACATGATTGGTCCAGGGCTGGACACATGTCGTGAGGTGGACCCATCGGACCCCTCCCTGAGGCTCTGCTCATTTCCAAGCCTTAAGGATGTCAAGGGCTGGGGCAGGGGCGGCAGCGCCCTTCGCCTGGAGGAGGCTGCGGAGAGAAAGCTGGCAGGAGAAGAGCATCAGAGATGGCGGGAGGGACAGAGGCCGGGGGTCGGGGGAGGGAGCTGGTGGGTGTTGATTTCTTGGGCGCAGCCACCAAGCTCCGCGGACCTGCTGTGGTGCCGCATCCTGGGCCGGCGTCCTTCCAGTGAGTGTCCTTTCCGACTCAGCAGCTGGAGTGGTCCCCGCCCTGGTGGTCTGGACCGGATTCCAGAGCCCTGCCCGACTGACGCACGACCCAGGCCCAAGCAGAGGCACCACTCGTATTAGCACCATTGAAATGAGGCCGTTTATTAAAAGTCAATATGTTAAAAAAACCAATGTTTTTATGACTTTTTAGAGGGAGAGAGAGAGAAGCATCAATGAGAGAGAAACATCGATGGACTGCCCATTGCCTGCCCCCTCCTGGGGATCGAGCCTGCAACTCCCGGGGCATGTGCCCTGACCAGGAATCAAACCAGTGACCTCTGAGTGCACGGGACGAGGCTCAATCCATTGAGAATAGGGCTCGGCAACGCAGGGAGTGATGGCCTGTGAAAGGAGCTGCTGGAATCGATTTCCCTGGAATCGTCCCCTTCTCTGGGTGGGGACCCAGGGAGCCCCGGCGGCCTCCTGGAGCAGCGCCCACGTCTACGCCACCGCAGGGGCCAAGCCGATCCTGTTGTTGGCGCGATCGAAGACGGTGAAATAGAGTCGCAGGAACACATCCCCCAGGACCCAGAGGCTGGAGCTGCCTGAGGTGTCGATGTCCACGTTGCTGAAGCAGATGCCAGTCTGCTCCTGGAGGGGAAGGACATGCAGCCCTCAGCCGTGCCCTCGCTGCCCGCCACCCCATGGCACAGCTCCCGGGTGCCTTCAGGGCTTAGAGCAGCGGTTCTCAACCTGTGGGTCGCGACCCCTTTGGTGGTTGCACGACCCTTTCACAGGGGTCGCCTAAGACCATCCTGCATATCAGATATTTACATTACGATTCATCACAGTAGCAACATGACAGCTATGAAGTAGCAACGGAAATAATTTGATGGTTGGGTCACAACATGAGGAACTGTATTTAAAGGGCCAGAAGGTTGAGAACCACTGGCTTAGCGGCTTCCAGTTGCTCTCTCCGTGGCTGCCCCACGCCCTCTCGGCACAGCCGTGGGGACCGGCGCTGCTCGAGCCCGGTCACTGTGCAGCTTTATTCATGTCAGCGTCTAACCGCCCTGCAAAGGGGGGGCTGGGTACCCCGTTTCACAGCCAGGGAATTGGGGCTTAGCGGGGGGCGTTTGCACCCCAGGACTAGGGTGACTTTATGGTTTATCACACAAATCAGGACACTTCGAGATGGGAAGGGAATACAGCCCATGATTACGGGGGGCCACTGGGGCAGTCCCCAGCCAGCCCTACGGTCCCTGCCCTTTGCCTGTCTCCCGGGTTACCGCCTATGTTCCAGCCCAGCGGTCAGAGCGCCCCCTTGACCTGACGCTGCCTGAGGGCGAGGCCCTTAGCGCGCTCTCCTGGACCCGGCACCAGCACTGAGCCGGCACAGGCGGCTGCTCCGCATTTTTCCGTGGCTGATGGATGCCCCAGACACCCTGCTATCAAGAGGCTTGTGCTGTGGGAGGCGCCCTCCCAGCCAGGGCTGCTGGCCAGCATCCGCAATGGCACGGTCCTGCCTCCAGGGGCCTCTCTGAGCCCTGGCCCCACAGGTCCCTCCAGCCCCAGATCTGAGAGCCAGCCCCCAGGGTAGCCCCTCACCCTCCGGATGTAGGCGCTGGCTGGCACTGGGTACGCGATGCCGTTGATGGTGAAGACGATGTCAGGCAGGCTCTGGACGGCCTCGCAGCTGACGATGTACTGTGTGAGAGAGAGGGAGGGGGTCGGCCCCACGGGTCCTTCTGTGTGTGGGGGGCCCGGGGTGGCCCCGGGGCGTGACCCCTCACCTCGCCGGTGCTGGTGGTCCGGGCGTTGATGCTCTTCAGAATGTTGAGGACGGGGGAGAGTGGGCCAATCACCAGCGAGGTCCCGGTGTCCATGATGGCCTGGCAGCCGCCGGGACAGGCCACGACCGTCCCGTTCATGGAGATGCTGAGGGACAAAGCAGGCACCAGGGTCACCCGTGGCCTCTCCCCCGCGGCCCTCCCAGCTGCCTGCAGAACAGCCTGCAGCTCCTGCCGTCCTGTCTCCCTGTATCCGGCCACACCGACCTTCCTGGACGGACTTCCTCTCAGGTCTTGAATGCATTGTGCTCTCGGTGCCTCAGGGCCTTGGCACATCCCGCTCCGTGTGTCCCCCTGGGCTCCTCCTCTCCCGTCCCTGACAGCCTGTACGTCACTCAGACCTCGCACCTCATCAGATAGGCCTGTGCTGATGTTCAAGCTTAACACCCCGTGCCTTTGTGATGGCGATGACCTGGTGCAGCCACAGGAAGTAAAGCCCTGGCCCGGCCGGCGGCTCAGTGGCTGAACGTGGACCTACGAACCAGGAAGTCATGGTTCATTCCCGGGCGGGCCAAATGCCTGGGTTTGAGCTCAGTCCCCAGTAGAGGGCGGGCAGGGGCAGCCGATCCA